AATTTCTGGAATTATGATTTTTGTGATTTCTGTTCTGTTCTGATTCGATATACGATTCTGATGATCTGATTTATGTTCGGATTTTGTTTGATGTATTTGATGTGGATTCTAAGGATTTGGATTGGAGGTTTGATGTCTTACAGAGCTGTTGTAGCTCATCCTTGTTTTCTGTGTGGTTTTCAGGTTCTGGGAAAGGGAAGGAGGTCTTGGACTAGACGTTTAGAGTTTGATCTGTTATAGGAATTTTGCTACTTTTGATTTTTGTACAGTCATGGCTTTTCTGTTCTGTTTTTCTTTCTGTCTAAAAGCTATAAGCTGTATTTGTACATGATTCTTTTTTAGGAAGAAAAATATAGATGATCTGTTTCGCTGCATTTGATGTTTATAGTAGCTCTGTGTGCGTTTGTTTGTCTTTATGTTGGAAGAAAGTTTTGAAATAAATTCCAAAGCCAGATCCTGAATCAGTTCAGTTAGTCTGAAGTTCCGGCATCACGACCCGATGCGAGCGGGATCCGCCCCGGTCGGGTTGGGTCGTGACAAAGGTAGTGGGGTAAGGTATAATTGGTAACTCAAAAATATTCATCATTGAAAATATTTTATTGGTAGATAGCTTAAAACATAATTTGCTCAGTATTAGCCAACTTTATGATAAAAGTTTTTGCATAATTTTTTTATTTACCAGCTACATGATAAGCTTAAATGGAAAAACTATTTTGTAGGAAAAAAGAATTAATAATATTTACATGCTTGATTTGAATTGCATTGAATTTGCCACTTTTCTTTGCTTACAAATTATTAATGATGGATCCTGTCTTTGATATAGGAGATTGTGTCATGCAAGCATGAAAAATAATAAAAATATCACCCATCAAAACTTAGTGAGAGGCATACCTAAACTCTAAGGATTACCTGTGTGATGCCTTTCATTTAGGAATATAAATCAAATCCTCCTTCCACTCAATCAAGGACATTAACACTAGCAAACCTTTAAAAGTCCTTCACATGGATCTTTTTGGACCCATTAGCACTACATGCCTAAAAGGAAAAGTCTTTGGGTATGTTATTGTTGATGATTACTCAAGGTTTACTTGGGTTAGATTCTTGTAAGAAATAGATTTAACTACTAAGCAAAATGTCATTGTTTCAGAATTTTATTGATTATGAGAGATTGTTTAGAACACTATTTTAAAACTTTCATTGTACAACAACATTGTTTTATCATGTCAGAATTTCTTTCTAACTCAATAAAATATCAGTCTTTTCAAACTATCCAATGTAAATTTTTTCAGAAAAACACCTAAATATCAAGAATGACTCTCTCTATAACATGTATAAAGTTACACAATAAAACTCTATCGGTTGCAAAACTATTCCTATTTTTACAGTACAAAAGTAGAAAATTAATCAGGAAAATCCCAATATTTTCGTACTTTAAAAGTAAAGATAAACATAATGTAACATACATAAAGTTAGACAACTTTTAGGACTAGGCCGATTGTAGAAAATTAACAAAGTCAGTAAGTCACCGAAGCCTAGCTTTGTCTCTTTAGAAATCTCCCTCTCTCTCTTAGTCATCTACCTAAGAAATAAAGAGAGTATATTTCACAAGCTTAATCAAGACATACTTTGGGTTAATGACAGTAACCAAGAAATAATCAATCAATTTAAGTAGATAATCTTATATATTATTGCATTGCAGTAAAAGAAAGACAAATGAATAAAATTCAGAAATTCACATGGTGTTTTACTGGTAAGCAATAGATTTAACTACTAAGTAAAATGTCATAGTTTCAAAATTTTATGGATTACTAGAGATTGTTTAGAATACCATTTTTAAACTTCATTGTACTACATTATTTTCTTGGGACAAAATTGCTTTCTAACTTAAAAATTAACAGTCTTTTCAAACTATGCATCATAAATTTTTCATAAAAATATCTAAATGTCAAGAATGACTCTCTATAACATACAAAAAGTTACACAATGCAACTCTAGCGGTTGCAAAGTTATTCCTATTTTTACAGTTCAAAATTAGAAATTTAATTAGGAAAATTCCAATATTTTCGTATTTTAAAAGCATAGATAAACATAATGTAACCTACATCGATTTAGACAACTTTTAGGACTAGTTCGATAGTAGAAAATGAATCAAAGTCGCCCAAGTCCAACTTCGTCTCTTTAGAAATCTCCCTCTCTCTCTTTGGCTGGCTGCCTAAGAAATAAGCTAGGAGAGTAGATTTCGATAAAATATAAAATGAGCGGAAAATGATATTTGTTATAAGATTCAAGTTAGGTGCCGCGATGCTCGACCCTGCAATGCCATAGCGCTCTCCACAAGACATCACAGAGCTGCAGTGTTGCCCCTAGCTCTGTAGCATAGAATTAATTTGGCAAAAATATAGAGAGCTCAATGTTGTAGCGCTGCCTACTCCATCGTTGCGGTGCCCTAAGGGAAAATTTTTAAATTTTTATGCATGCACACAAACCTCCGGGATCCACTTAAGAATAGATTCATACATTCACATGCACACAAAACGCCAACAAAAAAACGCACAAAATACATGAAGAAGATATTATGAATGCAAAAATTTGATTGCCCTTACTAGTGTTATAAAAACCCAGGAGGACATCATTATCTGAGAATGTGACGCGAGGACAATCAAAATTCATGAAATGAAATTTTTTTTTAGAAGATCACACAACATCAATATTGATGGAATATTTATTTGAAATATAATGAAGCCTCTGACTAAATTTGAAGCAAATTCTAGAGTTTTGAATTAAATTTTTTAATAATTTTTATTCTAATATAAATGCCAATTTAAAATAAAATATCAAATTATGATTCAGGAGGATTTTGGTTTAAACCACTTGAGAGGTTAACATTAGCATCACAGGAGTTTTTATAACTCATAATTTTTTCTCAAATTGTTTAGCATTACAAAATTTTAAGATATTTAATGCTTAATTTTTGAAAATGACATAAAATGACACATACTTTAATATTCGAAAATGAGGGCAAATGATACATCATCATAAAATTCACTTCATCGGGAATGAATCTTCAAGCAGCAATTTAATGGGAAACTTTTAGAATTGACTTTTTGAAATCATCCTAATATGTATATTCTCTTATTTAAACCATGCATACATCATATTTAGTTCATTTTTATTTTAAATATATAAATTATCACTAATCATTTTATTTTAATGTTTGATATGAATTTATTATATTCAATTTAAGTAAAATTCATTTCTAATGATATTTAAAAAAAATATTTCAATTACAAATTCAATAATTCCTAAATTAATGATTTAATTTCCTAATATATCCTTTAGCACAATTCCGCACACACGCATACACATCTCTCTCTATATATAAAGTCTAAATTCTTAAACTAAAATCTATAGTAAATAAAATTTTTTGTTTGGTTTGAAGTAAATTGAATGTAATATAAAGTGCAGAAAGTTTGTAGCTGGCGTGGCCGGTGGTGGCGACTGGCGATGGGAGGCGGTAGTGGCCGACGGTGGTGACCATTTGAGATGTTAGCCTATGGCCGGCAGCGGGGGCTGTAGGCATCAATGGTTGCCTATGGTGGTGGCCAGTGGTGGCTTGAGGGTGGCGGCGATAGCCTGTGGCCAGTAGCGGGGGCGCAGGCACTGATGGTTGGCGGCAGTGGCATTCGGCGGCATAGGCGATGGACGGCAGTGGCAGAGGTGGTTGGCGACGGTGGCAATGGCAATGCATTTGGAGCGAAGACGAGCACAAATTGGAGAGGCCAGGGCTGCGAAGGCAACAATATTTCTCCCTTTCACATGCTTCTTCGGCTAAATCCGAGTCCGTAAATTTGTAAATCTATTCTCCATGGAACGCGATTTACACCATAAATTTGTAAATCCCGAATTTACACAAGCTCCGAAAACGGTTTGGCTGGATTTACCTTAAATCCTGCTAAAATCCGAGCACAAATCAGATACCAAACAGCCCCTACACAAGCCAAATAGCCCCTAAAGAGGGGCAAAAAAAAAAAACGCTATCTTCAGTGCCTTTTTCTCACTCTTCACTCTTCAGTTGTTGCTCGCTCTCCTACTCTCTCAGTCGCCACAAGCCACAAATTCTCTCACCTGCTTGCCACTGGCCTCACGCCCAGTTTCGTCGCCTCGCTCTCTTCTCCCATCGCTCACTCTCTCGACGTTGGCTAAGTAGGTGGTCTCTGTCTCTCCTGTCTCAATCTTCTTCTCTATTCCCCCACCTCTCTCTATCTCTTGTTAAGAAAAATGGAACCCTTCATTTTATTCTGTAATAGTGGACTCAGTTGAATGACTTGAATCAACATAGTCGGTTTAATTTCTTTTCTTTTCTTTCTCTCTCTCTATATATATATTAAGCTAAACTTTTGAATACATTTTTTTAAGGAAAAAATAATGAGTATATAAATATTTTGAGCATATAAAATTAAAAACTTCTGTGTATAAACTGTATTTTAATTAAATTGCCATAACAAAAAAATTGAAGTGACGGGGTCCTGTACTCCTGCGTGTTGTGGCCATCATCTTCTAACCTTCGCCGATCGACAGAGAGCGGTTCTGCAGCGTGAAAGCCGCAAAGGGCGCACGCATAAGCATGCCGATGAAGCCAGTGGCATCACCGTTATTTTAAACATCATCGTAGGCGTTTAATCACGCCAACCTTTTAAGATTTTGGATAAAAAACGCTTGGAAGGTCAGTGGTGAAAAACAGGCAGACCTCCAACGTTCTGCTCTCAGCTTTAAACTGAAATAAATTAGGAAAAATTTAAATTAATAAATAATTTGAAATGAACGATAATTTCGGCCTTCTCGTTTTCCAATTATGCCCATTTTGCGTTTACTAATTTTCCATGGTGGTCATGTGAGTGATTTTCAAAACCCGAACAGCATATTTCGATTTTGGCGACTTAGGAATAAAGTATTCCCTCTATTTTCAATATTATTTAACTTTATTACTTACTAGTTTATTGTTTAATTACCAGTAAGATAAATTAATTTCCGTTCCCCAGCTCGTCCCCTGCTTTCCCTTCTCCTCCTACTCTTTCCAGAACTGCGGTTGCAGCTCCTAAATCCAGAACGGGAGCCGTTTTCCGGCCAGAAAACGGCGTTTTTCTGGGCTTATCAGTGGTTACTCGTTCTAAAGGTGGAGAGGATGTAGTGAGGTGTTATGCTAATAGATTGAGATTCTCCGACCGAGTTTTTTTTTTTTTTTTTTTTATTTGGTACGTCTCTCTAATGGCGGGAGCTAGCTGAAGCAGTAAAGGTTTCGAATTGGACGGTAGAGTTTGTCTTGTTTCAACCGCTGAAAGGCTGATCCACCTTCCTAGTTCTGGTATGGAGGGGAGGGAAGGGATGCCTGTCGCTGGGATGGGAACGAAGGTGTCGGAGGCTAGCCTGAGCTTCCACTCGCCCTCGCGTGGGGCGGCGGTGGTGACGGGTGCAGCAAGGCCAGATAACCTTAGCCTGGGCGGCGGTGGAGTTACTCCACCGATTTCGCAGGCGGCGGTAACAGCTTCTGCGGGGGCACCGGCCCCGCCGCCGCAGCAGCAGCCGGTGAGTGCAGCTCTATCTTCTGTTGGAGCGACGTTTGGGTCGGGCCCGGTTGTTGCGATGCCGTTAAAGAAGAAGAGGGGGAGGCCGAGGAAGTACGCACCAGATGGGAGCGTACTGCCACTGAACCCTAAGCCGATCTCGTCTTCTATGCCGCCGGGGGAGTATTCGGCGCCAGCGGCGATATCCATGAAGCGGGGTAGAGGGCGGCCAGGTGGTTTCTTGATGAAGCAGCAACCGAGAATCGAGTTGGAATCACTAGGTAATATCATTATTGGTTCTGCCCTTTTCTTTTTTATCTTCTCTGTTTCTCTTTCACTATCTCTGGAGCAGCATAGTGTCGAGATCTGACATGCTAACTTTGCCTCTTCTGCTTGTTATCCTTATAAATGTTATTTTTTATCGATTTTAAGCTTGTGATTTACTGCTATACGCTATCTTTCTGTGTTTTAACTTTTATTTTGGTGTTTTGAGTTTATTTAGTTCTGCCAAGTTCTTGTTGAATTAGGTCTTTGGAACTTTTTGGTAAACCTATTTGGTTTGTTGGCTTACCCTTCTTTGTGTCTTTATCACTCGTCCCCATCTTCCCTTGCCCATCTCTTTTACATCGGGTAACGTTGCTTTCAACTTTGAGTTTCAACTTTCATTTGACGCTTTTGCTCCCACCACGTAAGTGAGAGTTCGAGTTGAAATGTACTAACTGTTAATTTTTTACAATTACTTTTAAATTGACCACTAATCTAAAAAATAGCCGTTGGTATCTTTGTATGGGTGCGTGGGTCTGATTGTTTGCTTCAAATCTGTAGTGAAGGATGCTCTTGTCAACGACTCAAATGTATTTCTTCAATGCCAAATTATTTTTAAAAAAATTGCTCTTTTTAGTATTCAAATGGTAATTTTGTGGAGTTTGAATTGGCCGCTTGGAATATCTGAATCATCTTGCGTCATCATTTTATGCAAACATGAGCCGGTCTCTTTTTTACCATCTTCTGTTTCCATCTCTTTGTGGACTTCGCTGTATCAAAACAGGTACTTTGGCCCATATTTAGATCATATTACGAAACATGTACTCGAAAGTTAAACCTGCATCTACTTCTCGCCTTCAAAGTTCATACTAGTCGGTAAAAATTGGATTTTTTTTTGTTAATAAGATCTACCTTAACGCCCAATTATTCTCGCGTCTTGAATTTTCCTTTGGCTTGCGTTTCTGTAAGGAGAAAGCCCGCTGCGAGTGTTTGATAATGATTTATAGACTAGTTAATACGGTTTTCTTTACCGCAGGGGAGATGGTGGCATGTTCTGCTGGCGCAAATTTCACGCCTCATGTAATCACTGTTGCAGCTGGCGAGGTATGATTTAACTGATGTGATTAATTGCAATATTCTTTCTTCATGTGCTTGAATGGTGGGCTGCAATGTCAAATGATTTTTTTTTTCATTTCCTTTCTACCGTATTATAAGGAACATATAATTCTAATGGTAGGAATTATGTGAAGTTTGTGAAGTTATTTGAACTAATTACTTTTCTAAATTTGTTTTCTATTTTAACTTTATTGTATTTATTTTTATCCTTTGTTACTGCTTTTTACTCTCTTTCTGTGGGCATGAAATATGAATATAGTGATGTTTTAACATTCAGTAAATGGAAGAATACATACAGTTCACAAGAAAGAAAGTTCTGCAACCTTATAACTTATTCAGCTTTTATAGTGACTAAGATTTCGTTTGGGACGGCTTTTTTTCTGCTTTTAAAGCACCTTTTTAGTAAAAAAAGATTATTTTTTGTATTAAAAAGTTATTTTAAGCAGCAGCAAGAAAGTCGCCCCAAACGAAGCCTAATTGGCTCACTTGAGGTAGATTTTCTTTATCATATATGTTTTAGGATGGTGAAGTACAGTTGAAATGTTTTCTTTTCTTAAACTCAATAAATATTGGAGTATGAAGCTGTTTGAAAGTATTATACATTTAACAAAAAGAGTGTAATTGCATTTCAAGTCATATTAATTTAATTTGTGGTTTTGGTTCTGTAAGTTTCTTAATTAGTTGGTGTAATGGTGACCTCCTATGTTGGACATCGCCATTTTGATCATTCTGCTCTGTTTTATCCCATTTGTTTCAGGCTGGCTTTACAGGTCCCCACCATTTGTTCATTTATGTGCTACATGTGGTTTCACTTGTTCTTTTTTCTCTTCTGCTTCTACTTTTGTTAACCTTTGGTCCATTCGTTCTTTTTTTCAATCATTTCATATGGATTATATTTACCCTACTTATTGGCACATCTCCATATATGCTCAAGCTTAAATCTCCGTATTCATTCTTCTACTGTCTTATTCTATATAAATGCTTCTCCCACGATCTTTTTGCTATATAACTTTTTGATTTTTGCCACTATAAACTTGACTATCAAACTTTTTCGTTTTCATGAACTTAGATCTCTATTGTATGTTAATCTTATTGCAATTATAAAAAATTGACCTATAAAAACCCATAATATTCTAAGATAATACTTTTGATGCTTTTTTTTTTTCATTTTGACTACAATTTTAATTGCTTCATTTAAACTAAAAAAAATTCAATTTCTTAGTGAAAAGCTGTTTCCATTTGTAGCTAATAAAATATTGTGTGGATTTACATAAATCTGTTTTTGCCAATTATCTTTGAGAAATTAACAAAGTAATTGCATCAAAAATTTTTTGGTGGAATTTGACAACACTTTACTTGAGATTTGAGCACAATCGAAGAGAGATGAAACTGATTGGAGGGAACATTGAATTGAAATGGAGTTTATGCTAAATTAGGCTTGATGGAAGGATGGAGCTTATAAATTTAGGGATGGAGAGTTAATTGAGTCTCTGAGCTTAAAATTCAACGAAAAAAGTAATGTGATGCAACCCTTCTGAACACGTGCATTGTGCATGGTAGTGCCCCAAAATACGTGAAAAAAATGTGATATTTCATCCTGCCCGCACTTGGCACATGCTCCACTATTTATCAGTGGGAGTCAATTTCATCACTAACAGATGGGTGATGCAAAAAAGAATAAAGATGAAGGTGATTATGCGCCTAGATGTACCCAATTGTGCAGCGAGGTTGAGGTCAACTCTTCTATTGCTGAAACTGGTCAAGTTTCATCACGAGGACGATGAGTTTCTCTAAGCGATGAGCAAGTTTCATTATAGTCGACAATCAATTGGGTTTGCTTAATAGGCTCAACTTTTGAGTTCATCTAGCAAATTCCTTGTTTGCATTATAAAGTCGAGTTGGATGGGGATCCTTAATAGGCTCGACTTTCCAGTTCATCTAGCCAATTCATTGTTTGCATTTTAAAGTCGAGCGGGATGGGGATCCTTATTAAGTGCTTCTACCTATTTGTTCTACCTTGGATAACTTTCAGAATTATTTAAATTTCTTGTTGGCAAATTGAGAGTTTTTGTTGATGATGTTGATTAGTGGAAGCCCAGACAACATATGATGTTGGTCCTACTGAAGTTTTGAACATTTGTCAAGGTTATCTTGGGGAGTGCTTATGATCATGTGTGACATTCATGTTAGCACCTGAAAATATGTGCAAATGTATGATATTTTGTCTAGACTTCATAGTATTTGTGCACTTGGCACAAGAAGCAGAGACGGTTTCAATGGAGGTAGAATGTGCAATTGCTATGAAGCTCTGGCCAATTGGTGGATCTTGATGTATATTGAAGATGGAGGATGAATGATTATTGTAAGGAGGCTTCTATAAATAATGAGGGCCTACAAAAAAGGCATCAACAACTTCAAAGCTTGTAAATCCCAAAGCTTAGCAAGAAAGTAGAAACCTCCAAGTAGGTTTACTTCTTTTCTCTTAGCTATCACGTAGCTAGTTGGTGTTCCTTGGCATGCATGGGGGTCTTTAGTTCTCGTGTTCTTCTTTGAAGGTTAAATTTGTAACGAATATGCTATTCACCCTCTTAATTGTCATGTAGTTTCTTGTAAATGTAAAGTAGTAACATCAGACATGTCTTAGGGGTTGTTGATGTTCTTGTCTCTTGCGATCGCTTGGATCAGCCTTAATTATTTTGAGACCTTAGGTTTCACATCCTTAGCTTTTTTGGAGTTTCAGGAAGGATGTAGAATGACATGGAGCTCTTAAAAACAAATTAGGATAATATCCCAATGATTTTCCTTAGTGTACACAATGGTTTACACTTTTTATTTTCTATTGTAAATATGATGATGCAATGAATGTATATTTTATGAACAAAGTTAGATTTAGTAGAATTGCAGGTCTCACTATCATCTTATAGAATTTTTTCTTAAGTTTGAGAGGGATGTTTCTATCACATAACAAGCCCGTTGCATTCCTCCACTTCAACCATCCAACTTGAATTCTAATAATAATATCCCCATCTATTTCACCATCACTCTAAACAATAGATCAAGGATATCTAAAACGTGTGCTCTTATTAATGACTTGATCGCCCAAAGTCACAATCCCTCCAATAGATCTATTATTACTAAAATTACACTCTATATATTCAGTTGTAGATATGCTCAAACAAAAGCCTTAAGACTCTAAGGTCGACCTCCATAATTCAAGTTTACCTTCAACTTCCTCTCTAGTCTTATCAACAAGAAGAATATCATCAGCAAAAAGTATACACCACGGTACAACCTCTTGCAAATGTCTAGTGAGAGCATCCATGACTAAAACAAAAAAGATATGGGCTTAAGGCTGATCCTTGATGTAATCCAACTTATATAGGAAAATACTTGGTCAAACCACCTTGTGTTTGAACACAAGTAATAGCTCATGCATATATATCCTTAGTGACTTGAATATAAGCATTATTAACCCATTTTTTATGTAGAACTCTCTATAGCACTTCTCTTAGAACTTTATCATATGCTTTATCTAAATCAATAAAAATCATATGTAGATCCTCTTTATTCTCTCTATACTTCTCCATCAAACCTCTCTATAAATGAATAGCTTCCATAATAAAACTACTTGACATGAATTCAAATTGATTTTAAGAAATATTAGAGTCACTCCACAACCGATGCTCCATAACTCTCCCATAGTTTTAAAGTATGATACATTAACTTAATTCCTCTATAATTCACACAATCTTGTGCATCCCCTTTATTCTTAAAAGTAGAAATCAACACACTCATTCTCTACTCATCTGACATCTTTTTAGTTTTCAAAATAATATTAAAAAGTTTAGGAAGCCAAGAAATTTCTTTATCTACTAAGCATTTTCACACTTCTATTGAATATCATCAGGTCCAACAACTTTTCCACACTTGATTCTCTTTAAATCCTTTTTAACTTCGGTCTTACTAATACGCCGATAAAAATAAAAAAACTTTATTTTCATTTGAGGTGCTAAGATCACTAAAGTCACTTGCATTATCATAATCTTCATTAAAAAGTTTAGCAAAATATGTCATCAACCTTTGTTGAATCTCTTTTTCTAATAAAAACACTTTTTGATCTTCATCCTTAATACATTTCACTTGAATTAAATTTTTACTACTCCTATCTCTTTGTTTTACTAACTTATAAACATATTTTTCGCCCTCCTTAGTATCTACTTAATATATAAATAATTAAAAGCTAAAATCTTTGCATTGCAAATTGCTTTCTTAGACTACTTATGGACATCTTTATATCTTTCTCAATTACTAGAGTTTTACAGCTAAACTAATTTTTTTAACTAATATTCTTATTTTTTATCTTTTCTTGTATATTTTGATTCCATCACCAACTATTTTTGTTATTAGTAGTTTTTTCCTTTGATACTCCAAGCACATCTTTTGTAATATTCTTAATATCACTAGCTACTTTTTTCGACATAATATTATTTTCCTTATGCATAGATAAAATCTTAAGATCTAGAATCTTGCTCTCAAAAATATTTTTGTTAATATTATTTAAATGCCCATATATAATCCTATAACAATGATTTAATTTTTTTTTTTATATTCAGCCCATTCATCTTAAAGTCCAAAACTAATAAGCGATGTTGAGTATATCTGTATATAAATTTTCATTCGAAATAACTTTACAATTTTTACCAATCTAAACGATCTATTTTTCTTATAAGAAAATAATCAATCTGAGTTTTATTATATTAATTCTTATAAGTGATGAGATGCTCATCTCTTTTTTTAAATAAGGTATTGACAATTACAAAATCATAAGCTAAAGAAAAATCTAATATGATCTTACCACCTTCATTAATCGCTTCAAAGTCATAGCCACCATTAATGCTTTTAAAATAATCTATCACTCTACCAACATGTTCATTTAAATTTCCTCCAATAAAAACTCTTTCTTCTAGATGTATTATTTGTATAAAGAT